ATATCGGCAACGGGCGAAAGTCCGTGCCAATAATACGTATCAAACGTGTGGTCGCAGAAAATCATTATGACTGGCAGCCGCCAGTCGCCAACGTTGGCGAGTTTACGTTTGACGCCTAGATCAAACGTATGGTAAGCTGTTAGCGATTGATACGCTTAGAACACAATGTCGCCAATTGACGATTGGCGGTCGCCAGTTTTGCGACTACACATTGAATACATATCGATTGGACAAGAAAAGACATGCTAGCAATCGATAACTACCTATTTAAAATGCAGTCGCCAACTTCAGAGCTACTGCCTATAATGCCTCGAGACGACCGCTCGCCTATGCTGTGTCCAAGGCACGGCGCGAACAATTAGGTTTCAGAAGGATGTATGTTTAATCTTTTCCATGCAGTTGGTTTTTATCGGTACGCAGTCGACATTACAAAAGAAGAAAATAATTTTTAAGTCGAACGCATGAACAGAATATGAAAGCAATCTCCTCGAATTTTTTCTACTGTATTTTTTGCAAGTAAAGAAGCTCGAGAAACAAACGCCTGTATTTTCGTTAATTATTTGTCAAAAGTATGGTTTAGTTTGGTGGGTTGAGCTAAATAAAGGTAAGAGTTATATGAAATGTGAAAGCTGTGTTGGACTAACTGCTGTCGCAACATCCAAATATTCCGTAGATTGAATTATGGAGAAGGACAGAAAGTGGGCTTGAGTGTTCATTCTGTTGAAGGCAATGTCCAAGCTTAACCTAACCTCCTCCGATTAGTGTCGATCCTGAATGTAGGCCCCAAAAAAGGGGCATCTGCGTTGGTCCGGTCTTCTAACGTTGTCTCTGAATGGAGATAAGGGGCCTGAAATTCCCTAGCTGGGCGGAGTCTGATATCAGACTCCGCCCAGCCCCGGTCTGCCCCTCGACACCTACTGAATTGACAGTTAGCAGAAGCTGCACATTGCTGCAAATGCACCCATGCAGTTGCATCTCCTACCCTCTGGCATGCCGACGAGGACGAGCGATTGGAAGCTCTCCGCGCCTTCAAGACAGGATCCCCAAGAGAGTTTTTTGTGAATTTTGGAGAGTTTGAAATTTGGAACTGTACTCAGGGCCACGGAAAGGCCCGAGAATGACGAAAATACGGGGGGCCAAACTCTGAAACGCTGCCTTTAAGTCTCGCTATATCGGGCGGGAAAGTCCATCAGAGATCGATCCTGCATATCACGTGTGCTACCAGATCAGAAGAGGTTCAGGAAAACCTGATGAATTGCGCGGTCGCCCAATAGGGTGCGGTAAAACGGTGCTCAAACAGAGTTGGGAAATTGATAAGCCAAGAAAACTCTTTGCACCATTCGGTTAACCCCATACAACGCAATCTTACAAGGAGAGGATACTTAGTCGAAAGCAACTCCAGATGAGACACATATCATATTAAAGCGCTTAAAACGCTGATTCCAAATCTGTAGTTTTAAGCAGCGGAGCGGTTTTGTGGAAAGAGTTATAAGGAGTGCTTCTCTCTGGGGCTGAGGCGCCCTCCAGCAGGTCTTCCCTTATCTATGAGCACTGTAGAGGAGTACCCACTGGTGGCAAGTGGCCTAGCTTGATAACGAAGTCTCAAGGTTTTAATCTCCTTCGCATGCAACTTTATCGCAATTCTTGAGCTTTTAAATGGCTCTAGAGCCCTAAAGCCTGAAATTTCGGATGATATTGATGCTAAATGAAATTGGAACTGTTAAAAAATCAAAGTAATACGACATAATCCTTAATGTAATCTTCATTCAAATTACTTACCACTAGCCAGTTGCTAACAGCTGGTATCAGTAGAGTAAGGGGAGACCTGCTAAAGGGCGCCTCAACCCCAAAGAGAAACACCCCTTATAACTCCTTCTACAAATCCGCTCCGCTGCTATATACTACAGATTTGAAATCAGCGTTTTAAGCGCTTTAAGATGGTATGTGTCTCATCTGGATTGGTGCTTTCGACTAAGTATCCTCTCCTTGTTAGGCCCGTATGCACGTACATCCCCGCGGGGAGGGGAGGGGATCTGAGAGGGGAAGCGTCATATTTCGCTACTCTGTATATCTTTCGTCTTCATTCTTTATTTGTGATATGAAGGTTCTCATACCCTAATACCTGCGCATAATGGGTGCCAGGTTATTGCCGTACAAGATTAGATTTTCACAACTTTGTGTGATCCCCTGGGGATCCCCAGACGATCACTCAAACTGTTGAAAATCTAATCAATTATGCCAGTAACCTGGCATCCATTATGCGTATGTATCAGGGTATGAGAACCCTTATATCACAGAAAAAGAAGGAAGAAGAAAGGTATGCAGAGTAACGAAATATGATGCTTCCCCTCTCAGATCCCCTCCCCTCCCCGCGGGGATGTATGTGCATACGGGCCTTAGGGTGTGATCAGGGCATTCTACTTCTAATGAGTTATCTGCGGGACAAAGTTCTAGTTGATGATCGGTCCAGAATTATCAGTCGTTGTAAGACTGTCCATCTGAAAGCAGCGGAGCAGCGCTGTCTAGGAAACTAGCAACATTGATTAAACAGATGTCCTCTGACAATAATGGTGCAGTTAAAAGAATCCACCAATGCACATTCTGATTTCTGAATACCAGAGACTTATGCGTAGATTTTCTGAATACCAGAGATTCAAGCTCGTAAACAACAGCAGCACACAGCCGAACAACCAAACGTTGTCTACGTGGAGGTAGGAACTTACGCGAAATAGATAACTGACCAAAAGTGCTGCTAAAACATCTCAGCATTGTTGTGGAAAAAACATGAAAAACCTCGTTTTCTTAATGTCTAGCTAAGAGAAAAATACAGCAACTGCATTGAGATATGTCTTATACGAAATGACAATGCATAAGCAAGTTAGGATTTTAAAGGATTTTTCTGAACAGACTTCCAACTTTTTCTGTTTTTAAGGCGCTAGGATCTTTCTCGTTTTTGGCTTCAACCTTCGCCTGGATCAAAGCTGCTGCAAAACTATAAGCGCTATCTTGTAGAGTTAGGTGCTCAATCTAATGATATATCGAATCCTATTTGGTATATAGAATAATTCCAGATTATTGCGGTTTGTATCTGTTTTGGTGCAGGAATTATGCATCAATCTTATACTTCTAAATAATTAGACAAAAATGAGCCACGTTTCGAAGGTTTATAAAATGTTTTTTGAAATTTCTGGAGCTTACAATCTTCTTCATAGCAAGGGTATGGCGGCAGCAAATGCATATTCAATTTTCAAAGAATTTTGGATCATTAAATCGACTGTTCATTTTTGTTTTGTAAACAAGCCATTCGCACGATTTTTTAGATCTCCGGACCTTCAAAATGTGCAAGACCATTTCGGATTACAGAGTGAATGCTTGAGCTTTGGTTTTAACAACTTACAAGTGCTCATCTGCACAGACTCATGCAGACGTGAGGGTATAGTACGTCGTAGCAAAGAGGTAGTGTGACAGAACAAAGTCGATTTTTAAAGAAGCTGTTTGATTCTGGCGCGTAGTCAAATCAGTCCAGGTGGTCTGAACTGAGGACCTAAGGATAGCAAGGTGAACCTGCAAGCGATTACACTCTCTTGCTATAAGAATGCAAAGTAACTTGACATGTGATTGTTCGGGCAGGTGCTGCGCTGTACTCACTTCTTTTGTAAGAGCATTGTCTGTGGGATAATCGTACAGAAAGCGAGCAAACGATGAAACCCAGAGAAAAATTCCCTAAATTGCTCGTTATCATCGTCGAAGCACGTAATGTGCCATAAAGATCGATGAACAACTGCAGCTGATCGTAGCCATAAGAGAAGGAAATAAATTCTTACCTTTCTTTTCGCAGATCATGCTTCAGAAATATGACAAATGTACATGGGATTCCATTTGTAAACCAATTTCTATGATCAACGGTACTCATATTAAACCATTGACATTTTGTTACTTTTCATTTTGTTAGGCAAAGTCTCCCGGTCCGTTGTTAAAGCTTAGAAGTTGTAGCAAAACAATTGTCACTAGTCGGTTCCGAATGGGGGCCTTGTCCACTGAGATAGTTTGATTTAGGTGACCAAACCTACGCAACGCGCATGCCTGAATCGCATCCCGATTGACGACGTCGTTAATACTGAATTGAGGCGCCGCAGGATTCATAGATTGCCTCAGCAGAGATCAATGAGAGGAGCTGGTTTACTATGGTCCCTGTCTAACGATATCAAATGCAGTGGTCATGTGCTTTTTTTGTTGTGAAAAAGTACGCCGCGCAACTTGGCCCTACCCAGAGCTGTGTGTGATAATTCAAACATATTCATATTCAGAAGGTGTTCGCGAATGACAGAGTAGCCAATAGTTTAGAAGCACTACTGACCGGTCACAAGCAGATATTTCAGATATTATGATGAATCCCTGTTGTTGGTAATCCACCGGTAACACATAATGCTCCGTTATTTTGGCTACTACGGCTAACCACAACATTCTTGTATGCCTAAGCTCTAAGCTACTGGTGAAAAATTGGAATTTTCTCAAACTGGTAGAATATCTAATAGGCTGCGCTGAGCAATATTGTTGCTGATCACTGGCGCTCCTGTGCATTACTAAACTACTGTATAGGATTCCTTTTGCCTTGGCCTTCTTTGACACCATTCTTATCAACTGTAGAAGTCTGGTCAACAGGCAGCGGGTTCTACCCACTTGTGTTACTAGCTAAGAGTTGTGTTTGTGTTTCTGCGTTCCTCCTTTTTAATGGAGCACCTTGAAGGCATATAATAAATAAATGAATAAATATTATGTCTCTGAGACTAAGAGACTCGAGTACGCTTTCACACACTGTTCCAACTAGTCTCGTGTGGTCAGCAATGATTATACATGCAGTCTATCTCGTCCAGATTGCTTGTTTTATGGAAATAGGGAAGAACAAGTCCAAGCTTGTTTGGGCATTGTGTGCAAAGCGTACATTTCCTATCTCAGAAAAGACTGTACAAGATAGGTTTGTAGAAATCCGTTATTTGCAGAAAAAGTATCAGGAGAACGAGACAACGGTGACTACGATTACACTATGACATTAAGAAGCTCAAACTATAAATACACTTAGTAAGTGTGTAGAAATAATCAATCCTTTACGTAACAAAATTATTTCAGCATCGTGTTTTTTGTTGTGGCTTTAACTATCACCTGATTATAGAAGAACGCATAGATAAAGTTTACAAAGCATAATTTGTCTATGATTATAGAGATGAAGTTTATGAAACAAGTTATCCACAAAAAAATCTTATGAAAATTTGTGCAATGAAATGAATCGAATTAGAATATGTTCGATGTTATATCTCGTTGACAGCTAATAACTAGAAAAGATAGGTCGACCGCAGATGTTAAGAACGAAAGAAAAAGAGCTTAGTCAGGTCACTGCTTCTACGAACATCATGCTATGGACTCGACCATATTGCTGTTGCTGGGATGTTGCAAATGTATCTCTCAGGGGTGTAGCTTGACTATATGAAATCTTGCCTGAACGATAATCAGGCAGCGTAAATCACATTGAGACGAGAGTAAGAATAACACCATTTGTTCTGGGACTGTGAACGTCGAAACCGCTTTGCACACATTATCTGGATAACTAGATTGTCTTTTTGGCTGCGTTCATACTGAGTCCGAAGTCCGGGAACAGTTCCAGCACAGCGCTCAGTTCGAGCGTTTTACTGGAAATGTTCTCGAACTTCCGATCAGTATGAAAGCAGCCTTTCTGTTTCAAAGTCGCAATTTACCGATTAGATAGATCACAAGTATGTACTACTGAATCACACACGAAAACTTGTTTTGGCAATGTACAAAAAGCGGCTTCATGTATCCTAGTCTTGAAACAAAGTTTAATAGTGAGGATTAAGCCGAGATTGAACACGGTCAAATAGTTGGGCAATTGTGAATCGGCGTCCCGGTCCAGTCCAACTGTGAGTTTGAACCGGCTTGGAGGAGTCTATAGGCAATTTCTCGCGCGCACAGACTGGACGCCGTTGCGTTCAAATAAAGCAGTTCATGCATGGATAAGACAGCAGAGGGCAGTAAGCATGAAAAAGCGTCGAATCAGCGAGACGCCGACAGCTTCCCTATTGGCGCTTTATCTTCGCGTGCGATGGATTAATTCGCCCACACATATTTTGGTCCGAAATTGCAATGGCTTATCCAACCTACTCTTTTCTTTTGCTCCACTTTACACGCGCCCTGCCTTTCCCTTTCTTCCCACCCACCCTGCTCCAGCAGCCCTCCTTTTTTTCTTCCTTCCTTGTCTCGCTTCGCAAGATCGCACCTCTTCATCGCAGAATGTAAAGAAAACTTTATCGCGCTATATACATGATGGTAAATTTGCGATTAGGATCGCTAAGTTTTTTTCCCCCGAATTATGTGAGGTCGTTGCGAAAGTTCTGTCGTTTCAACTTCAAAAAACCGTGACTTCTCGCATTTTCAATCAATTTGTTTCACCCGAATATTCGTAGAATGCAGCAATTTTCAGCTTTAGGACGGTGTCTTGCTGGATTGTAAAATTAAAATGATTATAGAGATACATGCGAAAGAGGAGGCTACGTAGTCTTAAATCATTTTGATTTAGGTTGCTAAAATTCTAAAACAGTGCGATAATTTTTTAAAAATGCAGCATTGTGACCTATTCAACCTGCCTTTCTAACAAGAAATGCCTGCTCCGATCCAACGTTTCTGAGGGAAACGCCGAATTATGAAGAAAACCCCGCTAAAAATAGTTTTGGAGTTTCGAAAAAGCAGTTGAAGTCTCGAAAAGTCTGAAGAGTTGCCGAATTGAAAGCGAAGACATGTGCATAGTTGGCAAAAACCACCAGCTTCTTGGAACAAATCGTGGACGTGAATGTATTCAGATATGCTCAAATTTATTGGTAACACATCAACCAGCAAAATAGTTTCCGTCATTTCTACAACCATCTTCCATCTACTTGAAATTGCCTTATCCCATTTCGGTAAAGACTCCGGTACTGGTAGTAATCTCCAAGAAAGTGTTCTTCATCTTCAAATTCTTTGAACATTTTGCCCCTAGCTATTCCGTGGAACGAAACAGGTGGAAGTTGGAGAGTGCTACATCGGGACTGTATGGTGAGTAAGGCAAGATCTCCCACCCTAAGTCCGCTATAGTCTGCTTAGTACTAGACGCCACATGTAACCTTCGTTGTTATGTAGTAGAATTTCCGAGTTTCGCCCTCTGCGACTGTTGCCGCATCTCTCATGAAGTGAAACGGCGAGACGTCTTAGTTGTTCAGAAAGACCGGAAGTGACAGTTTCGTTAGGCCGGAGCAATTCATAGTGTGCAAATTTTTGCGATATCCAACCGTACACAAAGCATACTTTTTTTAGAGGCGCGTTTAGGAACGCGGGAGTTTCCGCAGGTTTGCACCAGCATTTTCGCCTTTTCGGGTTATCAGAGTATATCCACCTTTCAAGCCACTGACGCACCCTTTCCGTAAATTCTCTATAAGCGTACAACATACAATGTCTTTAGTGTAACTTCTTTTTTTCGTGTCTTCAATGCTCTACGATTTCGTTCCGAAGAATATTTCCATCAAGAAATGTTCTAACAATAAACAATAACAATGTGTCATTACGTTAGATCGCTTACGTTAACGTTTAAAACGCTTATATATTGGAGTAACTAACCCCTTTAAAGTTTCTTGTTGTGTTCCACTATTTTCCTCTGGAACACTGCACACATTACATGGTCATAATGTCGTTGGGCCACAAAAAACTGAAGAGGCGCTTGGTAATATTGCTGTTATATAAGTTTTGGTTCGATAACTCACGGCCATGTTGCAAAGGAGGCCTGTACCATTTACGTACAGGATGTCGCTCGCTAGTAAATCGCGGTCCGAGTCGAACAGCGGCTTGTTACAGTAAGGGAGGACATTATCTGTTGAAGGGCACTAATGACATATTCATAGCATTTTTGTAATCTACAAAGAGAGGATTGAACATTAGCTAAATCTGACTTAGTACTACATACTTACCAGTGGCCAATTGGTCGCGCGACATGCGCCGCACTTGTTCCACGTACTTTCGGACGTTGGCAATTGCACTATCCAATGCCATTTAGCACAGGATAATGGTACACTAATATTAAAAACGGGTGTGAGTGTGTTGTTTAAAGTTGAACATATAGTATTGCGGACATCATAGTGAACATCAGACATGATTGAATGTGGTTGAATAATAACATTATAATGCGGTTTTCAAATAGAATATACCGCCAAAGCCTCGCTAGGCTCACTATCCTCACTTTACTTCTCCTTCAGGCGTCTTTTCACGGCGCGTTGTCGGTGTGTTTCTCTTTGATGACGTTCGTTCTTCCTTATCAATTCCGAGATATACGGTAACAAGGCTTACCATGGATTTTATAAATACTCCGCTCTTCTTGTCGGCCTTTTTTTCTACATGATTGGCCTTTTTGCTCCACGAGTGCGGTCAGCTAGATAATATGTTGTGCTGTCTCATTCAACTTCATGGATCTTTCTTCAATTAACATTGTCTCTATTCGATGAAGTTTACTTAATATTGGCTCGACGTTTGGCGTTCGTGGCTTAACGTAGTGTCATCCATACTCTTCTGAACCAGTTTCTCCATATTATCCAACTGATATTAATATCCGCGTTTGGTCCTTCTGTTACGAGGCGCGTCCTATCTTCGTCCGCAACTTCGACGTATGGGCTGATGAAGGGGTCGATTGTGAACCTCTCCAATATATATCGCATATTCTTGAGTTGATTGACTTCGTCGCGAATGAGATTCATATTAGAAGCTCTGGCGTTCATATGCACTGAGCTGGATCTCGGGGAATTCTCAAGGAAAAAGGGGACAGACTCAAAAGCAAAGGGAAATCCAAAAGAAAGAAAAGCGAAAAAAGAAGAAACACTTTGTTTCCCACTTCTTAAGGGGTGCGGTTCTTGACTCGCCGACGATGGAGCTCTAGATTTCGTACGGATTCAGCTGATAGCTGCCACGAGAAACTCTCTGAAGTAATGATAATAGTAGTTGAAAACACCAGAATACAAGGGTTGGAGGTACGCGAGAGAAGACAGTCCACACGGTTCAAACAGTTTTTTTTTCTACAGTGTATCTTCTTATGTGCCAGTGAAAAAAGGCAGTTTTACTGTGTATCTGTGTCCGACTTAGAGAATCGTTTATATGATTTAGTGACAAAGGGGAGCCCTATAAATAGTGAACTAAGGCCCAACTATGGTTGTGCTAGAATGAACAACGGACGGCCCGACAACCAGCTGCGGCTGAGCCGAGGCTCTTTATTGGACGAGCCAAGATTTATCGCCGGACAAGTGAAGGCCCACTTTCCGGCCGGACCGCGGGAGCTGCGAAACCAGCCTGAAAAGCGCCCGCCCCGTCCGCTTCCAGTGTCTGATGCGGCTATTGGACAGGACGGATTGAAGGCATGCGCCTGCTTGGAGTCAATGTGCCACTCACTCTGTAATAAAGATGCACACTTTGATAGGCACTGGCCCTGTGCAGGGACGACACACTTCCCTTTTCTCAATTATTTATCAACAATTTGACTATTTTTGCGTCCCTTTCGATTGATGTAGCGCCATCGCAGTGATGCACTGCGGATGTCAAATGGTGTAATTACGTAAAGTGACGCTAAAGTGACTAAGGCCCGTATGCGCGTACATCCCCGCTAGGGAAGGGGGGGGGGGGGAATCTGAGAGGGGATGCGTCATATCTCGCCACTCTAAGTATCTTTCTTCTTCCTTCTCTATCTTGCTTAAGGTTTTCATACCCTAATGCCTGCACATAACTGATGCCAGGTTACTGGCGTGATTATTTAGATTTTAATCCCCTAGGGATCCCCCGCTGATCCCCAGGGGATTACCTCTCATTTTCAAAGTAATTTATCTTCCTGAAAACTCAGTGAAAACGCTGTAAAATTGTACTGTGGATATACTACGGCACTGCTAAAGATGTTTTTAGTAGAAATAAGTGAAATCTCAGGATATCGAAATCTTCGGTATTCCCTGGCTCGAAAGCTAGGGATCATCGAAAAATTCACAATCTTCAGATCCCATTTCTTCTGTCGAAAACATGCTTAGCAGTGCCGTAGTTTATCCTCAGTACAATTTTGCGGCGTTTCCATTGACTTCTCAGGAAGACAAATGGCAC